GGGGCAGGGCAGTGGCGTCCACAGCCATCTGCTCCTTGTGGATGGGGCAGTCAGGCAGGGCTTCTCGGAGGAGGCGATATGGAGCAGAGACCTGGATGGAGCAAGGAGCCAGCCCTCATGCTCCTTGGGGAAGAAGGAACAGACAGGGGGGTTTGGGGCCCCTGGGCCAGAGCAGTGAGCCCCCCGGGGTGGCGGGCTGGTGAGGAGTCTGGGGGACAGTGAGGTCTAGGAAAAGACCCCAGAGGTTTTGAGGAGTGGGGTGCAGTGGGCAAGTGAAATGAGGACCCCCCCTTCCAGGAGGTGCTTGGGCCCACCCTTGTCCCAGGGAGTCTGGGAGGTGAGCACGAGGGTGAACCCATTCTACAGACAGGAAAGTGGAGGCACATGGGAAAACCGCAGTCTGGGCCGGAGGAGGCCCCTGATCCATCGGAGAGAAACCAAAGCAGCCCCCTCCGCTCCCCCCGGGGCCCCAGGGTGGCCCGGCTCCAGGCCGATCCCTTCAGTCCCGGGCTCTGGGCTCCGGGCACGTCCCTGTCCCTGGCCGACCCTCTGCTGGCGCCTGAGGCTGTCGGCCTGGTCCCCTGCGGGCTTAGTCACCCTGTGCGGTGACATTTATTCATGCCGCACGCAGAGCGTGGGGAGAATTAATTATTTAGGCCGAGGAAGCACTTTGAACGTGGAAAGTGCTGAGGGTGGCCGTGACATTGCAGAGAATATCGCTCCCTCCTCAGCGCCTGCAGCTCCCGCCCGCCCGCCCAGAGGGGCGGAAACTGCGAGGAAAAGCCAGTCCTCTGAGCTCAGGACTGCTTTCTGTGAAAGCAGGAGGGTGGGAGTGAGGACAGCAGGGGTGGGGGGGGGAGGGGGAGGGGGAGGGGGAGGGGAGGGGAGGGGGAGGGGAGGGGGGATGGTAAGAAGAGTAAAAGAAGGGCAGCCCCGGAGGGTGGCTCAGGGGTTGAGCGTCGGCCTATGAGCCAGGACCCGCTGTTCCACTCCCGGTCAGGGCACAGGGGGGGCAGCCGACGATTCTCGATTCTCGCTTGTCATGGTGTTTCTCTCTCTCTGCCCTCCCTTCCTCTCTGACATCAGTAACAATATATACATTAAAACAAAAGGAGAAGCGGAGGAGGGAAGCAAGTTTCACCCTCGAATGTTTCAGCCACGCCAGGCGGAGAGGGAGGGAGGGTGGGGTGAGTCACAGGCAGAGTTTTGGTTTATAAAACACTTTCTCTTCCTCCTTCCCCACGTCCTTACCACGGGGCGGGGAGGGGGGGGGTCCTGGGAGCGGGGCTGGGCTTGGCTTTTGGGGACGAGGAGGCCAAGGCTGGGAGAGGAGCAAAACCCGCTGGGGGGGCTGGGGGGGCCCAGGGCTGGGCTGATCGCGGCTGGGAGTTCTCACTTCCGGGGCGGGGGCAGGCCCCAGCCCCCCAGGCACCCGGACCTCTGGGCCCAGGCTCGCAGAGGCCAGAGGTCAGCCCTTGAGCTTGGGCCTCTCCCCGCATGCCCCTGAGGACCTGTGCATTCCCGTCTTGCTGGGTCTGGAAGGAGGCGGGGAGGGGAGACCTCGCTGGGGTGGGGAGGGAGGCGGTGGGGGGACACAGACAGGTGTCGGGGAGTTTGAAGTGGGAAACTGGGCCTTTGAATGTCCTGCCTCAAAACAAGGAAAGTTCTGTTGGGACGGTCTCCACCAATCACCTGAAAGATGGGGATGTGTAGCCAGCGATGGCCATGCCTTTGAACAAAGCGCTGTCGATGTTTCTCTTGAAATTATCGTGTTTTCTGTGATGACAAAGTCCGCGTTTTTAACCGGTTACAGCTAATCCACATACCGTTTAAACGTGCGGGTGACCTCCCAAGCGGCACCCCTTTCCCTGCCCCTCCCTCTCCCTCCCCCTCTCTCTCCCTGCCCCTCCCTCTCCCTCCCCCTCTCTCTAAAACTCAGCGGGACCAGTGTCCTCGGGTGAGGATGAACAACAACAAAAAGAAATGAATTATTTTTTTTATAAGCAGGCAGCTCGCCCGGCTCCTTCCCCGCGCACCTGCGTGTGCCCAGCTCCGCGCCAGGGGCGGGCCTCGGGCTGGAGGAATCACGACTCGCGCGGGGAGGAGGCTGTGGGCCCACAGGTGGGGGCCGCCCCCGCATCGCATCCGGATCTCCTCCTGCTCTGCACCCTCTGCACCCGCTGGAGGCTGGGCTGTGATTTACGCTCATTAACGCCCTCCGCCAGGAGAGGCAGATAGAGAGAGAGAGAGAGAGAGAGAGAGAGAGAGCGCTGCCCCCTCGCCCCTCGCAGCCTCGGGCCATGCACGGGCATCAGGGATCAAGGGCTCTGCCCCGCGGGGCGCCCCCGGGTCACACCCCGCAACCCTCGGTGCCTGTGGATTTGCATCCTGCAAACTGCCGGGAGGAGGTTTTCCCGGGGCACACCCCCCCACTCCCCACCCCCGCCAGGGCCTCCAGCCGGGACGCAGGCGTAGACCATCGCCCCGCTTCCTCCCTGGATTTAAATCGCTTTTCTTGAATGACTGCGTTTGCCGCGATCAATGAGGCTGAGCGATGGCTGTGTGGGGCCTTTCAGCGAATATGCGGGGAGCTGCATCCCGGGGGCGACCCGTTCAGCGACCCCCCACCCTCCCGCGGGAGGGCCGGGCCTGGGGCCGGTGACAGGTGACGGAGGGAGGACAGGCAGGTGCAGCAGGGAACACGGAGGAGCATCCCTCGTCTCCCCTCCAAAGACAAGGAAGCCACATGTACCTGCCGGGGCCCTGGCCGGTGTACCCAGTGGTTAGAGCCTCGCCCAAGCACCAGGGGTTGCAGGTGTGATTCCCTGTCCAAGGGCACGAACCTGGGTTGCAGGTTCACTCCCCGCCCCCACCCATCGGGCCTGTGGGAGAGGCAACCAGTCGATGTGCCTCTCTCACATCCGTGTTTCTCTCTCTGTCTCCCCCCCCTTCCCTCCCTCCCTCCACTCTCTCTGAAAAGCAATCCTCCGGTGAGGATTAACAATACAAAACCCCCCAAAACCCACACACCTGCCCACTCCCTGCCCTCCGGGCTTCCTAAGGGGACAGCTGGCCAGCGAGCTCGCCCTGCCTACCTCCTCGTCGTCAAAGGAGAATTTAAATGGGGCTCCGAACCTCAGTGCCTGAGAGAAGCGAGTCTGTAGGTGTAAACTCTTCCCCAGCTGCTCTGAGATTTCGCATTCAGGCGCCAGATCCCGTAAAGGTTCAGAGAGAGAGAGAGAAAGAGAGAGAGAGAGAGAGAGAGAAGTGCCTGGTTCCACTGTTTCAGCTGTGCAGCCCTGGGCACGGAACTCCCTCGAGCCTCAGTTGTCACATCTGTGCAATGGGCATTTCCACCGTACCTGCCTCTACGGGTCGGGGTGCAGGGGACACAGGAAGTTCAGCCCAGGGCCGGCCTGGGGGAAGCAGGCTGAGTTAACTAGTGCCCCCCCAAATTCATGTCCACCCAGAACCCGGGAGTGTGACGTTATTAGGAACGAGGGTCTTTGCAGAAGGAATGGGGTTGGGGAATGAGGTCACCCTGCACCCAGTGGCGGGTGAGTGTATGGAGGCCATGGGGGGACCCGGGGAGAAGAGAGCCAGGGCTGCCGTGCGAGCCGGGCAGGCCCTGGGTGCTGGCAGCCGCGAGGAGCTAAGGGAGAAGGCAGGGCAGGTTCCTCCCGGAGCCTTCGGGGGAGCACGCCCGGCTGACGCCCTGGCTTCCGACCCCTGCCTCCGAGCTGTGGGAACACATTCCCGCTGAGTTGAACCACCCCCTTGAGGCTTAACGAGCTGTGGCAGCCAGGAGACACCCAGGCGGGGAGGGTCCGCCACTCCGGTGGGCTGCAGCGGTTCCTGTCGCTAGTCCTGGCTCAGGAGGGCAGGCGGCTCCGGGGACCCAGCAGGGCCAAGGGGCCAAGGGGACCCTCTGCAGCCACAGCACGCGGAGGCCCAGACAAGGGGTTGAAACTCACAACCTACAGAAATCAGACAGGTGCGGGGCGATAGAGACTGGTGGGGGGTAGGGCAAAGTGAAGGAGAGGGTGCCCTCCCTATGTCAAGGTCAATTCCAGCCTAATTTCATCATGCGGGGACATAGGGCCCAAAGGGACTGAATCTTCTCTCTCTCTCTCTCTCTCTCTCTTTGTAAAAATAAGTTTTTATTGATTTTTAGAGAGAGAGGAAGGGAGATAGAAACATCGATGAGAGAGGAACATCATTGATCGGCTGCCTCCTGCACGCACCCCCACTGGGGATGGGGTCCAGCTGGGGCTAGCACAGGGCGCTGTTACCGCATGTATTCAAGTGGGGAAAGGGCGGCATGAGGGCGAGGTAGGCGGCCCCAGCGACCCAAGGAGGGGCTGGGAATCAGAAGGGGGGGACCTTCCTGGGGGAGCGGCCCTGGGTGCCTGCGCCCGCCCGGGTCCCGGCCCCATCCACTCTTTCCCGAAGGAGGGGACCTGGGCAGGCTCTTCAGATTCCTCTGCGATGATGCGCTGCTGGGCGGGCGGCACATTCCCTGACACATGGCGTCAGCGGGCTGCAACCTCAGTGGGAGGGAGGCAGAGGGAGCAGATGGAGGCCCACCTGCCCCATCTCTCCTCGCTGCTGGGTCTGGGTCGGGCTTTGACCTCCCCCCCTCCCTCCTCTCCCCGCAACCTGCTCCTGCAGATTTGTCAGCAGGAAATTCTTCAGGGTCAAGCTCAAGGTCAAACCAATTTGCACGTGAGCACCTAGCCGGGGGCCAGCAAAGGCTTCATCGCAACTGGAGGGGGGGGGGGGGCCTCAGGAGGCAAAGTTGAGGGGCCCTCGGTGTCCCTAAATCCCTCACGGCGATGGCACAGAGACCCCAAATCCCTTCTTCTAAAAATACATTTTTACTGATTTCAGAAAGGAAGGGAGAGGGGGAGAGAGAGAGAGAAACATCAGTGATGAGAATCATGGATCAGCTGCCTCCTGCACGCCCCACACTGGGGATCGAGCCCGCAACCTGGGCCTGTGCCTTGCCCGGAAATCGAACTCTGACCTCCTGGTACATAGGTCGACGCTCAACCACTGAGCCACGCTGGCCGGGCTCGAACCTCTCCTGCAGACACTCCATGGAGAGTGTTAACGTCCGAGGCGGTGCACGCAGTCAGTGCTCAGCAAACGCACACCCGGAGAAGGACCTGGAAAGGGACAGAAGGAGCCTGGGAAGGAAAAATATGAATACGTTCCCCCCTAATCAAATCTGGGCACCTTCGCTGGAAACCTTCCCATAATCTCATCAGCGCTGAGGATTACAATAGCAACAAATTAAACCGACAGGCAGGAACTCAGCTGCTCAAGGGGGAAATGGAGCTTGATTTAGAAACGGATGTTACAGTTTATTAACCGATCTAAATTAATTCGATTTTAAGCCGCCGTTAAATATACATCAGGATGTATTGCCCGAGAGCGTGGCTGGAGGGGGGAGTGGGGGGAGAAAGGAAAGCACGTGAGGCCCACAGGAGCTTGGTACCACCCCCTGCGCCCCCGCCCCCCCCCTGCGCCCCCGCCCCCCCCCACACACACACCACGGCATGTTCATTCTGAGGTTTGGGGCTGGGGGTTCAAAATTGGGGAAATTGGGGAGGGGAGGACCAGCGGGGACTCCCAGCAGCAGGAACTGGAAACCCAATTCGAGCTGGCTTAAGCCACACGGGAATTCATCATCTCAGTATCTGAAGCAGCCTCGCCAGCTTCAGGTTCAGCTGGATCCAGGCGCTCGCGGTCAGAGGACTTGGCCTTCCTCCGTTTCCTAGTCTGCTTTCCTCTGTGTGGAATTCACGCTCCAGCAGGGTCTTCCGGTCTGGAGGCCGGTTTTCCTTCTACCGGCTTAGCCGCCCGGCAGAGTAACCACCGCCCCAAACCCAGGGAAGCTCTCACCGGCCGGCCCCGGTCATGCCCCACACTGATGGCCAGGCCAGGGCCCTCTGCCCATCCGAGAGCGGGGGGGAGGGGAGGGCGGTCAGATCCACGTGAAGCACGGGGACCGAGCACAGGCGAGGAGAGGCCCCCCCAAAACACAGAGGTGCTGGGGCCAGTTGGGAAGAGAGAGAAGGGGGCGATGGCCCCAGGAGCGCCGACCCAGGAGCTCAGAGGCGGGGAGCAAGTTCTCCCTGGAGCGCCGGGGGACAGCCCCGCGGACACGGCCACTCCGGCCCACGGGACCGACTCGCTGTGCGTTTCTAACCCCAGACCCACAAGAGGACCCACACGCATTGTTTTAGGCCCCTACGTGGTGGCAGTTGTCACAGCAGCAACCAAAACCCCTAACCCTAACCCTAACCCTAACCCTAACCCTAACCCTAACCCTAGGGCAGCCTGGCTGGGCGGTTGGGCCTCTATCCATTTCACCAGGAGGTCTCCGGCTGGTCCCCAGTAGGGCACATGCCCGGGTTGTGGGCTGGATCCCCGGTGTGGGTTGTGCCCCGGGAAGATGGAGAGGGAAACGAAGAGAAACAAGTTCTGCTTAGTTGCCCCCCTAAGGCCTCCTTGTTGGAAAGGGGCAGCTTCCCGTGTCACAGCTCAGGCTGGGCCGCAGCCTCCCCTCAGAATTACACAGCTGAAGGCGAGGGGGAGGGAGGAGTGGGGACGGGAAAGAGGGGGGACAGGAGGGAGGGGGCTGGAGAAGGAGGAGGAGGACCTAGGGAAGGGCAGGATTCTCCCAGGCCCGGGCACGGTGAGGTGCACAGCCCTGTTGGGGACCAAGCCTGCAACCGAGGTACGTGCCCTTGACCAGAATCGAACCCATGACCTGCAGTCTGCGGGGCGGCGCTCTACCCACTGAGCCACCCCAGCCAGGGCCGCAGCAGCTGTTCTTACCCCGTGGCTGGTGCCGTCCTCGGGGCTGTGTCTGCATTTAATCCCTTGGTCCCCGTGACACTCCTGTAAGGGAATAGATGACAGCTCCATCCCCATTTTCCAGGCAAGGAAACTGAGGCACAGAGAGGTGAGGCAGCATGGCTGAGGCTCCACAGCTCAGAGGTGGGGGGGGGGGGGCGGACTCCAGCCCAGGGCCCTGAGCCCTCAGCCCCTGCTCCGCACCGCCTCTCCGGGCCTTTCCGAGGGCCGGGCGCTGGGCCTTATCCGCTTCTTTCCCTGTCAGCCATTCTCTACCTGACCCAGAGCCACTGTCTGACCACCAGGCTCCCCACCACGGCCTCTGGGCCAGCTCAGGCCAGGCCGGAGCCACAGGAAGGCTGGCCCGACAGGCCGAGGCGGACCCCGCCCTCCAGGCCCATCGCCACTGTCTGCTGAGATAATGCTGACCCACCAGACCAGAGGCAGCAGGCGGCTTGCTGCTCTCACATCTGCCGCTGGCTCAGCGTTCCTGCTGAACTTAAAGGGGGGGGAAATCCCTGAAAAATGACAGAATCAGAGCGGCAGCTTGCTTAGAACGAAAAAAAGAAAAAAACTGATCATGTCAGGACTCTTTCTTGCAAGCCGGTGCAAATCCAAACGGCTTAAGCAGAAAAGGCAGATGGATTGTCTCGAGCAACTACAATTTCAGGAACAGGGTCAGCTTCAGGCATGGCTGGATCCAGGGGCCTAGGTGACATCCTTAGGCCTGAGTCTCTCCTGCTCTGGCTTTTCCTCTCCGACCTGTTGACGTCATTCACAGATGCCACCTGGTGGCAAGATGCTGCCCGGAACTTTCCGCTACATCCCAGGTCGGGGTCCAGTGGGAGGAGAGGCCCCTTTGGGCCCTGCCGCTAAGTCTCCAGGATCAGCCCTTATTGGCCGCCAGGAACCATTCACAGAGGCCAGAAAAACGCAACACACTGATTGGCCGAGACCCGGCTCATTGGCTGGTGGTCCCTGGAATTGGTGGTGCATTTTTAAAAAATATATTTTTACTGATTTCAGAGAGGAAGGGAGAGGGAGAGAGAAACATCCATGATGAGAGAGCATCATGGACCGGCTGCCTCCTGCACTCCTTACACTGGGGATGGAGCCCATAAACCAGGCATGTGCCCTGACCAGGAATCGAACCGTGATCTCCTGGTTCATAGGTCGGCGCTCAACCACTGAGCAACCAGCCAGGGTTACCATAATTTTTAAAATATTTTTTTAAAAGGAAAAAGAGCCTGACCTATGAACCATGAGGTCACAGTTAGATTCCCCATCAGGGCATAGGCCGGGTTGTGGGTTCGATCCCCAGTGTAGGGAGTGCAGGAGGCAGCCGGTCCATGATTCTCTCTCATCATGGATGTTTCTATCTTTCTCCCCCTCTCCCTTCCTCTCTGAAATCAATAAAAATACATTTTTTAAAAATAAAAGGAAAAAGAGCCAGACGTACACACCCTCCCCCACCCCGTGGCCAGTGACTGACCCCGCCCCCCCGCGGTTCTGGGGAGCCCAGCCCGGAGGGAGGCACGGGGCATGGGGGCAGGAAGGCGGCCCCTCCCGGGCCAACGGCAGAGGAATCCGTGTTGTGCGGGGAGAACAAGGCGCAGCTGACTTCCTGCCAGGGAACCTGAACTTCAGATGCCCCCAGGCCGCGGGCGCACTGATGCAAGCATTTCCGCAGCCAGCAGGGCAGGGGAAGGGTCTTGGCAGAGGCAAGCGGGTAGAGGCCGCGATGACACGATCCCAGCAGACGCCCCAGTTCCCCTTCCCCAGGGGAACTGAGTCACTCCGGCCCCCTGCCTGCCGCCCTCCCAGCAGCTGCACCCCCCCCCCCCAGGGCCCGGAATGCCCGGCTCTGAGGACAGATGCCCATGGTCAGCCAGGCAACAACCCCTTCGGCGGAGGCACAGGACCCAGCGCACAGCAGCCTGGTTCTAAGATGATGCTGAGAGCCGTGAGCCCCTGGACCACTCCCCGCCTCACCCAGCTGGCGGCTCAGAGGGTGTGGGGCTCGGGCCACGGATGGGATTTAAAATCCCCGCGGATGCCCTGACCGGTTTGGCTCAGTGGATAGAGCGTCGGCCTGCGGACTCAAGGGTCCCAGATTCGATTCCGGTCAGGGGCATGTACCTTGGTGGCGGGCACATCCCCAGTATGGGGATGTGCAGGAGGCAGCTGATCGATGTTTCTCTCTCATCGATGTTTCTAGCTCTCTGTCCCCCTTCCTCTCTGAAATCAATAAAAACATATTTAAAAAATAAAGGCCATCATTGATTTTTTAAAAATATATATTATTGATTGTTTACAGAGAGGAAGGGAGAGGTTGCCCTCTTTTCCTGTCTGGCTTCTTTTTTTAATGTTTCTGCTGATTTGAGAGAGAGAAACGTAGATCCGGTGCCTCCCGAAAGCAGCGCCACCTGGGACGGAGGTTGAAACCTGGGCTGCGCCCTGACGGGGACGGAACCAGCGACCCCTCCGACGCTCGGCCACCTGAGCCCGGCAGCCCGGCCGCCCTGTGTGCGCGTCCACAGCTCACGCCTTGCTCTTGCTGAGCCGCGTCCCAGGGCGGACACACCGCCACCCGTGCGCCCGTCCCCCGGTCCAGGGGCCGCTGGTTGCCTCCCAGTCTTGGGCTGTGACCACCAGAGCGACTATGAAGCTCACGTGCAATCATGGACGCGCCTTCGTTCCTCTCGGGTAAACATGCACACACACACGTGCACATATGCGCGCACATATGCACGCACATGTACACACACTCACGCGCGCACACACACATACTGTCAGAAAGGAAATGGAGGGAGTGGCTGCCAGCAAGGTGACCCCCAGGGCTGCTGGCTCCCAGGTTACTGTTTATTTATTTTATTTTATTTTAATCCTCACCCAAGGGTATTTTCCCATTGATTTTTAGAGAGAGTGGAAGGGAGAGGGAGAGACAGAGAGAAATATCGATGTGAGAGAGACACATCGGTTGGTTGCCTCCCACATGCACCCTGACCAGGGCCAGGAGCCTGCAACTGAGGTCCGTGCCCTTGACCGGAACCGAACCCAGCACCCTTCAGCCCGCAGGCCAGCGCTCTATCCACTGAGCCATACCAGCCGGGGCTCACAGATCGCTGTTTAACTGAACTGGCCGCCACCTCAGGAATGTGTAGGATGTGGGCCTGGGAGAATTCGCCCGAGGGGACATGGCAAACACCTAGTGGACGGCCTGTCCAGGACACCAAGATTTAATCCTCAAACGGCCCTCGAGGCCACCACAGGGCCCAGTGCGGGGGAGGGGGGAACGGGGGGGAGGGGCCACAGCTGGGATCAAGGCGTCAGTCCCAGGAGCCCCACCTCCGCTCCCTGAGGGGGGGTCCGGGCCCCTCCGTCTCAGCAGGGGAGCTGGGGGCTGGGCCGGTGGCTGCTCCTGGCAGAGGCCCCAGCCCAGCCGTGCTGGCTGCTGGCGCGTAACCAGCTCAGCCAGCCCCCTGTCTCTCTCCTTGCACAGCTTGGCGTTTTCACTCCCCGCGGGCGGGAAACATCTCAGCAGTTTCAGAGGCAGCTCCGCGGAGAAAGGTCGCCTGGAGCAGGAATGAGGTCGCCGCCCCGCGGAGGGGGCAGAGCAGGCGGGGCGTGACGGGGACAAGGACATTGCGTGAGCCCACCGGTTGAGCCTCTTCCTGTGAGCCAGGAGGTCACGGTTCGATTCCGGTCAGGGCACAGCCCCGGGTTGCGGGCTCCGTCCCCAGTGGGGGGCGTGCAGGCGGCAGCCGGTCCATGGTTCTCTGTCACCATTGATGTTTCTCTCTCTCTCTCCTTCTCTCTTCTGCTCTGAAATCAATAAAAAAATATTTTTAAAAAACGCAATTAAATAAAAGAGCATCGCAGGAGACAGATGCCTGGGCCTGAGTGCACAGGGCCCGCAGGCCGCGTGGACACTCCTCCTCCCTCCTCTCCCCCGGGACCCGTGCTCCCGGGCATATTGGGCCCCAATGCTGCGTGACACCCCCCCCCCGGCTTCGCAGCCCCCACAGCACACGGGCGCTGTCGCCCAGGCTGGGGGGCAGACTGAAAGCCGGGTGTCAGCCAGCGCCACGGGGCTGAGGCTCCCGTCCCTCCTGCAAGCGCCGTCGGACGCACTGAGCGCCCACATCCCGGCCGCTCTCAGCTCTCAGGGGCCCGGCTCACCCCGGGGCCTGACTTCCTCAAGTCCAGAGGGCGTCGCTCCTGTCCAACTCAGAACTTGTACGAAAGGTAACCATGGGGACGGCCCTGCCTTCCCACCTGTGGACACATCATCTCACCAGGGGCGCCTGTCCCACCCTCTTCACACTCCTAGGGTGTGGCTTACGCACCCAGGAGGGATGATCTTGGGGTTTTTTTTTTTACATTTAATATATTTTTATTGGTTTCAGAGAGGAAGGGAGAGAGAAATAGAGAAACATCAATGATGAGAGAGAATCATGGATCAGCTGCCTCCTGCGCCCCCCACACTGGGGACGGAGCCGGCAACCCGGGCCTGTGCCCTGAGCGGGAATCGAACCCTGACCTCCTGGTTCATAGGTCGATGCTCAAGCTCTGAGCCACGCGGGCCGGGCTCTGAGCCCCTTTTCTGGATGGGGGTGGGGGGTGGGGGGTGGGGAGCGGGGAGGCTCTGGCCAAGATGGAGGGGGCCTCAAACACATCTGCAAGTCAGTGACCGAGGTCACGCTGCCCAAATCGGCCTGAAGGGGTGACGTTATAAACATTTAGCTCAACGCCCGGCCTGGGCGCCCATCCACCGGGGGAAGCCGCCCCAGGCATGCGGGACAGGGAGTGGGCATCGAGCCAGGGAAGCAGGCCCCGGGCACCTGCTACCGTAGGGATGAATGTGGACACCAACATACTAGACTTTCTAGGGTTTTTCCTGGGTTTGAGGGAACGAGGGTTTTGTGCCCCCCCCCAAAAAAGAAAGAAAGAAACAAGAAGGGGAGGAGGCAGAGAGAGGGGGAGCGAGGGGGGAAGGGAGGGAGGAGAGAAGGAAAAAGTGGGGCGTCAGTCCCCTTAACTATCGTCTCCCCCAGGGGTCAGCAATGACAGGCAGGAGCCAAACCAGCCCGGGGCCTGCTGTGCAGCCTATGAAGTGAGAATGGTCTTTTACATTTTTTCCATCTTTGCTGTTGGGAGTATTACAACGTCCCCCTCCTTCCCCCATTGCCTCCACCCGTCCCGCCCACCTCGGGCCCTTTTCACATCTTTTGAAAAGTTGCCGAAAACAAGCAAGGAACAGAGAGCGTGCAGGCGGCCTTGGGCCCCGGGCCTGAAGCATTTGGCCTTCACAGAAGCAGCCAGCCCCCTCCCAGCCCCCCGG